TTATGATTGGACTTATTTCGTTTATTTTATTTTCACGAGTCCACCAATCTTCTATTAGTTTCTCGCACTTGATATACAGTTCTGCCACACTTCTGGAGTTATGTTATGTTATGTTGATAATGGGGTGTTAATACACTGCGACCTAAAAGATCTATTGTGCCCCCTTCTGTCGCCACTGCACTAAGGAAATGTCTCAATGCCTTCTGGAGTTGCAATTGAAAGTGCTTTTCGCCAAGTTTCCCGAACTGCGTCGTCACTATAACCATTAGGCCCAATATGGTTGTTATAATATTGTTTTGCTATTCCCCGTATATATTCGATGAGATTAAACTGGAAATGATACGGTGGCAGATGTAAAACTCGATGACCGTAACTTTCAATAATCTGATCCACAACAAAAGTTTTTGGTTTTGCGTGTATATTTGCCAAGCGTAATAATTCTGATTTTAATATAAGTATATTGAGGAAATGGTATATGTTTCTTTGTCAACCATTCTTTAATTTTATCAACAGTCCAAGAATTCGTTGGACTTTTGTTTAATACTTCAGAATGGTAAGGTGTATTGTCTAAAATAATGACTCTGGGCTCACTTAAACCTGGGAGAAGTTTTTCATGCAACCATTTTACAAACATTTCTGTGTTCATATTATCGTAATAGTCACTGGATTTTAATTTAGATGAAAACATTAAATCAACACCTTCTATAACACCCGATTTCCCTCCTGCATGTAAAATTATGTGTCGCTTCCCTTCTCCATCGGTATGTTTGATGGACTTTACGTTATCATCTTGCCATATTCTCTTGGTTGCACTCCTAGAAAATATCCATGTTTCGTCTAAATATATAAAATTTACCCCTTCTTCTTTAAATTTAGAATAATTCTTAGAAAGTTAATTCTCTTGTGCACGACAGAACTTCTTTCACAAAGGACCTTTCTGTTATCCTCCTTTTGAAATTTGAAACCCAAGTTATGTATCACTTGCCATAGACTTGTTCTGCCAATGTCGTCAAATTTTCTATCTATTAATTCCGAGAGAATTGTATTTAAGGTCACATGTTCCTTGTTGGCCCTTATTCGATAAATGGTATCACGAATTTCAAATTTCTTTCCATCTGGAATATCTTTCGTTTTCAATGATGGGCGAGTTTTGCGGTGATCATCTTTCGGCAGTTCACTGTTGTGATTTTGTAATACTCCTCTTAATTTGCTTTCACTAATTTCTAGATCATCGCATACGCGTTTTTGTACAGACATTACCGATTTTAAAGGACCGCCATTTTATTTTTCATCCGTAAAATACTTATGTACACTACAAATTAGACTATCTACATCTAACACACGTTTAGGCATTTTTAAAATTTCCAATATACATACAGTGTCAACACTTGCAAAGAATCAATTTAACTGCAATATTTGTAACAAATGTAGTACCTACCCTAATGTTATTTTAATTTAAATCTGACCATTAGGGCAATTTTACCTAATTTCTTGGGAGGAGTCTTATTGGAACTGGTTGTCAATAACTAATTTGCATAATTTTGTTAATCCGAAACCCGCGTAAGGATAGCGAACTGACTTTTTCTATAAACCTTAAACATTTTGTTGGTAAAAACAAAATGGTTGGGGTTCAATTCTTGGGATTCGACCAGTTCGTGACGAGATATTGAGAGCATACTTGAAGTATGACATTATTATACAATTAATACGAAAATCACTTAAAAAAATTCGCCCCCTACCTTCTAACTGTTAGGGAGGTTAAATTTTCAATAAAACAATTGGTAACTACAATTTCCTTTAAATACAAATTGTCATAGTTCGGATATAGGGGAATGCTGCCATTTAAAAATAGTTATAGAAAAGATAAAAAACTGATTTTGAGCATATTTAAATTAGAAATGATTTACAACGTTCCTGTATAAAAATCTTCCTTCCACAATACCCTAGAGGGAGATGAAAGAGGTATCATTACCAAAATGTTAAGTAACAACTTTTTATGTGACACTTAGGAATAGTTAGGAGAATTCACACCTATAATCTAGGAAATTAAATTAAAAAAATATATCAATAGATATACTACTTTGTAAACAATAGTAATAGTAACTTTGTTATGCAACTCATTGATTTCAAACCTACTACACTAATTTAATTATAAATTTCCTTCTTTGTAATGAAATAAACTAATACGTAAAAGGTTAGGTTACCAAGATATTATTTATGGGTCACCATAAATTGATTAAATATTAAATAACTAATAATAATTAATCATTTATCAAGTACGTGTAGTAGCTAGGTATGTCATATGTTATTATTTGTCTTTTTCTTGCGACACAAGTTACGTAAAAATGAAGTGAGTGCACAAGACAGTTTTGCGGTCAGACGCTTTCTTTTCAATGCTAGTACTTGCACATTCCGCAAATAAATACTTCCTGTGCATGATACCGGGGCTGGTAAATAAGTTCTGCGTTATATACTGATATGGAAAATTATTGACGTCAATAAAATTTTACTAGGGGGTGTGAAGTTACTGAAAATCAAAATTGAAACGAAATTTTTGATATTTACTTGATGAAAATCCATATTGGTTCTAAGAGAAAAACCAAATTTAGTAGATTTTCACAAAAATTCTTCAGTACAACTTCTTCAAATGTGACTAATTTACATTTCAGTGTCTACATTGTTTTGAAATTATTTTTTAATTAAATATAATATAAAAAACAAAGGCTTTTTAAATATAATAACACAGAAGGTAGTAGTTCTGTCTTTTGCAATGGGTTATGAAACATAAAAGTCTTAAAATGAATGCTTCAAACCCAATAATTTTGATATGATCTTCAAGTCCACAAATCTTAAGTCACTTTAGCATTTAAATATACTTAGCCAACGCCTATGATACCCTTATAAATCCCTTTAAATTGGATGGTAGGACTATCTCTCTCGATTTCAGTTTCTCGCTTTGAATTATTTCTACTTTTTAACATGTAAAAAAGAATTTATCTAAAAAAAGGTGTTTCAAACCATTATACCCACAGCTACTAAAAACACTTAAAAGTCAGTCTTTAAGATCTGATCTTGTAGAAACTTATTGATGGAATAAAAGTTCTTATTTATTAAGAATTGTTTAATTTTAACCTCAAAGGGTTTTATTGCCAGATTTCTTTTTTTTGTGAGATGTGTTATAGTCCATTTTTATGTATGAGAGAGTATTAAAATAATAAAGCGTTCGTAATCCATAGGCGTACCACTTCTTTTAGTAGACAGTTAAAATATTTTTTGAAGTTATTCCTCGAGTATACACTTATATTTTCACCTAATTAACCTGCTTATAACTTCTAAACAGCTGAAGGTAAAAAAGTGCAATTTTTTCTAAAATGTTTTATTTTTCCACAAGGTATGTTAAGAACATTGTGTCAAACGGGTTATGTAGGTATAAGGGTTTAAACTTTGACTTTTAAACAACGTTACGTTCATAAATAATAATTTTAATATAAAAACTACTTCTTACCTACAAATCCAAATTAGAATCAAAATCAGAAGATGAACTGTTGCAACCAATATTTACAATGAGTGGCTCGATCATTTCATCAGTAATATTGTCCAACTTCCACATTTTCTCTTCTTCTTTAATCGTATGATTTACTGCCTTTTCTCAGTTTTTAGGCTTCACATTATTTACAGCCTCCAAAAACAACTGTTTAACATCACTCATTTTAAAAGAATTATTTTTTCTTGAAACTTCTCCCTTTATCTGTGCCCATATCAGTTCAATCAGGTTTACTTCGCAATAATATGGTGGTGATCTAACCACCGTCATCCCACGATTTTTGGCAATTTCATCAATTTCATATTTTTTGAATTTCTCTTTATGAAGGGAACACAAATGATAGTTCTTTTCTCACAGAACCGGGATGGAACTTAATATTCTTTGAATTTAGCCAATTCTGTAAATCTTTTTTTAATCACTTGGTTGTGGGCATTTTTTCTATAAGTCTCGAGTGATAACTTGCATTATCCATTACTATTATACAGTTCTGAGGAAGAAGATCTATAATTTATTCGAAACACTCTTTAAAGACATCAGCATTCATGTCCTCATGGTAGTCACCGATACGAGTAGATTCAAAAGTCAATAAACCACCTTTAACAAAACCGTTTGAACTACCGATGTGTACTATTATTAGTCTGCGCCCCTTTCCTGATGGTGGATTTAAACCAGTAGATAAATTATTTAAAAAAGCCTCGACTTGTAACAGTTTCATCTTGCCAAAATTTATTTGGTTTATGTCCCTCGTTGATCCATGTTTCATCTAAATAAAATATATTTCTTCTTTGGTTTCTCATTTCTTTTATAGTCCTTAGGTAATTTCTTCTCCATACCACAATATCGCTTCTTTCTATTAAAATAGACTTTCTGGAATGCTTTTTCCATAGAAAACCTCTTTCTTTTAAAAGTTTCCATAGTATCCTTCGACTCATTTCAGGGTAATCCTTATCATCTCGAACCGTGGCAAGAACTTTGTCTACTGTCGGAAATTTTCGGTGAAATTTGTTGGGAAGGTATTTATCTACTTATAATTCGATTACTGTAAGAAATTCTTGGAATTAAAATAAAACAAAATTGGCAAATAGGTACTTATTGAAAATAATCTTAAGATACGGCTATGTAATCTTTAATACACAGGGTTTTTGGCCAGTCCAAACCTTTTTCTATTGTTCTGTACAGCTTATGTTTATAAAGGACCAATAAAAGACCTAAAACTTGTAATAGCTCAGGTACATTTATTACAATTTTAGGAAATATTTAGATTATTCTGTAAAAATATTTAAAATGACCGTACTAAGTTTTGCATTAGAAATACTGTTTTATTACTATCTCATACATAAAAATAGACTATAGTGATGGGTTGAATTCTTGGAGAACATTTAATTTTGTTGCAGCACTTTTTTCAGGTTTTTCTGACTGAATTAACAAAAAATAAATGGCTTTTTTTTTGTTTCAGAACAGCAGGTGTTAAGGGTAGCATAAAAATAAACGGAAAACCTCGTGACATGAAGCTATTTAACAAATTATCGTCTTATATTATGCAAGAAGATTTAGTTCAACCCAGGTTGACTGTCAGAGAATCTATGGTTGTAGCGGCTAATTTAAAACTAGGATCGACGATTGGATATCATAAAAAATTGGCTGTGGTATGTTTTATTTTATAAATTAAAACTTTTTCATCCAATAAATGTTATTCGCATTTATTTATCTCTCATTTTGTTTTTTAGGTGGACGAGGTGATCAATCTATTAGGCTTAGAAAAGTGTTATGACACAAAAACCGAATATTTGTCAGGAGGACAAAGAAGACGATTGACAGTAGCTCTAGAATTAGTGAATAATCCACCTATCATATTTTTAGATGAACCTACAACGTAAGTAATTGAGCAATAATTGATATTAATTGCATATTAAAATTTATAAACTATTTTTAGCGGGTTAGATAATGTGTCTATTAAACAATGTATAGAATTACTTAAGAAAATTTCCAAAATGGACAGGACTGTTATTTGTACAATACATCAACCACCTGCTTCGTTATTTCAAAATTTTGATCAAGTAAGTGCCTATATTGGTTAGAAAAGTTAAGAATTTAAATTTTTCATCTGCCAGTTGTCATATTTCCGTTCTTGTTTCGTCGTTCGTTTTTTGTCTTTAAATTTTGAAGACACAAAAACAATTTATCAAAATAATCTAAAATTAAAGAATATTTTTATTCATTACTAAAAATTTCGTTTGCCCTCAAAATTTATGGTTGCAGCATCTCTGATAGCTCAAATTTGCTTTTTCCTAGATTTCATATACAGGGTGATTCATAACTATTGGGACATAGGCTAAGGGCAGGTTATTTGGACCAAAATATGGCGATTGGACCAAATATACCTTCATAAAATATGACTGTGGAATAAGATACAGGGCGTTAAAGTTTTTTTTCTGATAATGTCACTGTTTATTTATGAATTGTTATCAAAATCGGCACAAAGGCATATATTTGAAAAAGAAATATTAGTTTATGTAATATTTCACATTTTGTTACAGGGGGCGCCACGTGAATGACTTCTGATGATGAAATTAGGTGGTAACTTTTTTTGGCAAAACTTTTTAGTGCTTTTGATTAGAAAATATTACCTAAAAATTATTTCTACGTAATATTGGTACTCTTGTTTAAACACGATAATTTCACCTGTTTTCGAGAAAAACGTAATTGAATAGTTCAGTGTCTCAGAAGGGGATTCCAAATAACACAATAAGAAAACTTGTAACGTAAGGCTTCTATTTCAACGGTAAAGCAAAATTAAAAACAATTTAACATAAAAAAAGCAAACTTAAATTAAATGTTCAATGTGACCTCCTCCGACTTCTATGCCTCTTCTAATTCTTTTAATAAAGGACTTTCGGATGGCAAAGAAAATATTATTCTGTCCCCTTATAAAATTACCCGCATTTTGTATGTTCCTCCAGAGTTCGTCTCGTGAATTAATATCCTGGGTATAAACTAAGGACTTCATATGTCCCCATACATAAAAATCAAGAGGGTTATAGTCAGGACTTCTTGGTGGCCATTCAAAATTACTTCCTCTGCCAATCCAACGTTGAGGAAACATGTCACTTAGATAATTTCTAACAACTAATGGGAAATGAGGTGGAGCTCCCTCCATCCTGCATAAACCACATTTTCCTTCTTACATCTAGTGGCATATCATCCAAAATATCTCTAAAAGTATTTTGCAAAAAAAAATAAATAGGAATCTCCATTTAAATTTGGAGGAAGACGATATAGCCCTAGTAGTTGGTCGTCTATAATGCCACACCAAATATTAAATTTAAACTTATGTTGAAAATGTCTTTCTTTACGAGCATGCGGGTTTTCTTCTTCCCAGTGATGACTGTTTCGATAATTAAAAACACCTCGTCTAGTAAAAGTCGCTTCATCGGTGAACATAATATTTTTAATAAAATTTCGGTCATCATTATGTTTGTTGAGAAAACGTTGGCAGAACTGTAACCGTCTTGGGAGATCTCTTGGAAGCAAATTTTGAACAGGAGTGAAATGATAAGGATGAAACTTTTCTTTTTTTAAAACTCTAATAATAGACGACTGACTTACTCCTGTTGTTATTGCCAGTTGACGTGAACTTACTTTAGGATTTTCATCTACTCGAACCAAAATTTCATCTTCTTCATTAGGAGTGATTTGTTTCGGACGACCACCCAGATTTTTACTATGAAATGACCCGGTTTCACCCAAATGATGAAATAGATTTGCAAAAGTTTTGTCATTTGGTTGCCTTCTGCTTGGATATAACAATTCATACCTTCTGGCTGCCATGCGACCGCAAAAATTTTCTTGTGCATATACACAAACCATATCCTGCATTTCTTCATTCGTAAAATGATTGTGACGAGGCATTTCAGTCGAAAAAGCTTTAAAAAATGCAACAATAGACTATAATCTCACAGCAAAAATAATTCATTGGCAAGAATTGACATTTACCAGACACAATTATCTGACAGTTCAAAGCACACTTTTCATAAATAAAATATTTTTTGAAATATCCTTCTGAGACTCTGAACTGTTCAATTGCGTTTTTCTCGAAAACAGGTGAAATTATCGTGTTTAAACAAGAGTACCAATATTACGTAGAAATGATGTTTACGTAATATTTTCTAATAAAAAGCATTAAAAAGTTTCGGCAAAAAAACTTAATTTCATCATCAGGAATCACTCTCGTGGAGCCCCCTGTAAAAAATGTGAAATAATACATAAAATAATATCCCTTGTCCAAAGATATGCCATTGAGCCGATTTTGATAACAATTCATAAATATACAGTGAGATTATAAAAAAAAACGAAAAAAAAATTCAACTTTAACGCCCTGTATCTTATTCCACAGCCATATTTTATTAAGGTATATTTGGTACTATCGCCATATTTTGATCTAAATAACCTGCCCTTAATCTATGTCCCAATAGTTATGAATCACCCTGTATAAGTGTCTTATATAGGTTGTTTCAAAAAAAAACATGTGCCAATGTTCAAGGGTAGATTCCTCAAACAAAAATAATAAATTTAAAAAAACGAAATAGTTATTACCAAAATCTAAAAAAATTAATGCTTGAACGTTTGCCCATGTTTTTTGAAACACCCTATACAGGGTGGCCACTTTTTCATTGAAATGTATTGCTATCTCGTAAACCGTTGGTAACACAAAGTTGGTTAAATGGGGAAAAAGTTGCATATTTCGAAGTCCAATCTAAGGGCGTTTTGAAAACTAAAATATCAGGTCCGGTTTCAGAGATATTCGATAAAAAACAAATAAGTACCATTTCTTTATTCCGCTACAGAACGTTTATTTGCAAAAATAGACAAAAACTCATTTGGAGTTTTTTGTTTTATATCAAATTGTGCGTATGATAGCGTATTTAGTTTTTTTATCCGACGTTTCGTAAATGCAGGACCACCATCAACTTCTTTATTTGAATATGGACCAATATTTTCCTGGCTCATAATTTTAATGCATGTTCAATGTTGAATACAATGATGTAATAACATATTGTGATTAGTCAACATTTCGGAAGATTTGAACATCATCAGGTAAGTTTACAAGTACGGACCTGTGTTTTGTTAGTTAAAAATATTTGAATTAGTAAATGATGTATTATCAGTGTAAGAAATCAGGTACGTTTACTTGTACAGACCTGTATTATAAATTATTTGAAATACACAACTACATTTTAAATGCTTAAAATAATTTAATAAAAAAAAATATGTATTTAACTACTTAATCACGTCAGAAACAAATAAATGAAAACAATGATTAACGATAAGAGAAAAACTACAGTAGTTGCTCAAAATGTCCTCCTTCTTCTTGAATACATAAGTCAATACGGTCTGTCATTTGAGCTATGCTGGCAGAAACCATTTGTGGAGTGATATTATTAAACGCAATAATTATCCTATCTCGTAATTGATTTAAGTCATTTGGAATACCATCATAATATACTTTATTTTTGATATATCCCCATACAAAATAATCCATAGGATTTAAGCAGGGTGACCTAGGGGGCCATCGAATAGGTCCATGTGTACCAAACCACCTCCTGGGAAATCTTTCGTTTAAATAATTTCTGATTAATGCAGCATTATGTGGCCCACAGCCATCTTGCATAAAATAAATATTTCTTCGATCACCTAAAGGAAGATTATCTAACATATCTTCTAGCAATTGTAAATAGTTGTGTTGGTTGAGGTTTCCGTCAATAAAAATAGGACCAATTATTTTATTATTGAGTATTCCACACCATAAGTTTATTGAAAATCTAATTTGGGGTCTTACTTCTTGAATTAAATGTGGGTTGTCGGTGGCATAAAAATGTTTATTTTTTCTATTAAATATTCCACTATTAGTAAATGTCGATTCATCTGTCCATAAAATTCGTCCATGAAAGGATACATCATTATTTAATTTTCTTAAGTGTAAAGGTTAAAGAAAAAGTCCTTTATTTCTCACAAAGTCAATTTATTGGCGACCGGTTTCGAAGTTGTCACTTCATCATCAGGCACACCTAAATGGAATATCAAGGAGTCAGTTGTAATAAAAACAATTATAAAAGCATGAACGGACTTTATGTTAAAGGACCTTTTCTTTAACCCTTACACTTAATATACCAATGCTTTTATCCGATACCAGACTGTCAAATATACAATAATAAAATGTGACATGCCAGGTTAACTTGATTTAAATTTATCTGTATAATAATCAAGACGTGTTGCTAGATATACAATTATTATTGTAAGTGGGTATCTATCTGCAGTTTGTTAACTTTTTCTTTTTTATACTATGAGGAACCATATCAGTTTAAAAAATCCAACAAAATATGACAAATCAGGCTAACTTTATGTATTTAAAAATCGGGATGTACTTTATTTATAGATTAATATTGGGATTGGTCAAGTGCAAAAACCATAAAAATGGAAAATATTTTTTAGCAAATGTGTAAACGAACATGTTGTCTTGATGTAAAGTTAAAAGTTTGACTTTGGTATTTATTATTTATAATCTCTTACAACGATAATACATCATTTACTAATTCAAATATTTTTAACTAACAAAACACAGGTCCGTACTTGTAAACTTACCTGATGATGTTCAAATCTTCCGAAATGTTGACTAATCACAATATGTTATTACATCATTGTATTCAACATTGAACATGCATTAAAATTATGAGCCAGGAAAATATTGGTCCATATTCAAATAAAGAAGTTGATGGTGGTCCTGCATTTACGAAACGTCGGATAAAAAAACTAAATACGCTATCAAACGCACAATTTGATATAAAACAAAAAACTCCAAATGAGTTTTTGTCTATTTTTGCAAATAAACGTTCTGTAGCGGAATAAAGAAATGGTACTTATTTGTTTTTTATCGAATATCTCGGAAACCGGACCTGATATTTTAGTTTTCAAAACGCCCTCAGATTGGACTTCGAAATATGCAACTTTTTCCCCATTTAACCAACTTTGTGTTACCAACGGTTTACGAGATAGCAATACATTTCAATGAAAAAGTGGCCACCCTGTATAAATCTAGCACAAATTATTCCCGTTAATACCTTATTTTTTTAGGTTTATGTGATGGCAAACGGTTACTGCGTTTTCAATGGTTCACCTGGTCAGTTAGTTCCTTTCATGTCTTCAGCAAATTGTATATGTCCAGCTACTTCCACACCAGCTGACTATAGTAAGTACTATGTGTATAATAAATTGGTGGTATAATATACAGCTAATTCCATTTAAAAAATTGAGAAAATCATAAACTCGCGTTTTGACACACCCTATATACAACATAGCAAATAAATGAAGTCTAATGCAATTGTTTGACGATTTAAAAAGAATCAAATGTGTATAATTGTCTGCAGAGTATTTTGCTTTAAAAACGCACCGGTTTTATCACACCCCTGTATATTTAAGCCTAATTGTTAAATATTGAGATCCTACTTTTATATTAATTTTTTTTCGTATTTACAATAATAAAACAGCTATCGATCAATTACGCACTGATGGGAAACCCTGTATATGTGTTATTGACTAATTTGGAGTCTTTCTGTAATTTTATAAAAAAATTAATTGCTTGGCAAATCTGTAATATTTTTATAAAACATTTCAGGATTGAAATAACATACAGGGTGTTTTATTTAAAAAATATAATTTTTATTTGACAGGCAAAAACGCAACACCCTCTATATCCAAAAATATTTTTACTTAAGACTTGTTTGCGTGTCTATAACACAAATTAAAATATTACATAATTACGTACTAATGACACACCCTGTATAAATTGCTTTTTTTTCTCTTGTACCAGGGGCGGGAGGTTGTAAAGTTCCACCGCTTAATGTAAAACTTTTGTTATGAAAGTGCAAATTTATGGAAAAACATATTCAACTAGACTGTAGATAAAAATTTACAAGCTATTATAAAGGGTTCTTAAAATTTATTGATCGTTTTATAAAACTTGCACTACAGAACAAGTAATTAAATTATTAAAAATACTAAGAATCGCAGTTTTTTATTTAAAAAAGGTGTCCAGTAACGCATTCTCTCCTAAAAAATACTTCTTGCATTGTGTTTCATTTTTATAAAAATTATAGTACACTAAACATCAGATATTTTTTTCTAAATATAAATATGACATGTTGGCAGTCAACGTGTTAAATTATCCTGTGGATCAGAATAGCTTTTCGATTATACACAATTTTTATATAAAGACGTTTGATTCAGGAATGTGTTATTTATTTTGTAGATATTCTTTAATTAAAAATATTTGTTTTTGTTGTATATTTTTCATTATTTTGCAAGTGGAGTAGTGTGTCGAAATTATCCAAATTTCTGAATTTATTTGCATACACTTTAAATGTAGTTTGTATTTTTTTATAGTTATTGAAATAGTACAAATGTATCCAGAGAACATAAATGCTCTCCAAACACATGCCCAGAATGGAAAATATAATATGAGATGTAATAAGGAACAACGACAAAATCAGATAGAGTCTTTTGAAACTAGCGAAATCTATCAAGATACAACACAAGCAGGTCAGTGTTACCCAAATTTAATTCACGTTTGCATTAATATTTATTTACTAACTAATTTCAGAATTTAAACATTTTTACTCTGTAGTTTACTTGTTCGTAAAATAGGACTATTCTTAGAACTCATTTAATAAGTTATAAAGTTTTTATTTTAATCAGAATTAACTAAAACTTCTAAAGTTCTTTCATATACTTATGTTGGTTTAGACATATATAACTTATCGTTAATTTTTTGCTCCATATAATAATGATTATTTGTAATCACAAAACATGTCTCTCTCTTTATTTTGAAATTTTTTATATCATAATTTATAAGATTTTAAAGATAATTAAAAATATTTTTCAAAATTTATTTGTTAAAAGATAATTTTGTCTTATTTTCAGGTATTTCGTTCCAAGACGTGGACTATCCAACGTCTTTTTGGACGCAGTTCATCATCCTTTTATCGAGAATGGCTTTGCAAATGCGTAGGAATAAATCCATGTTGTACATACAGTTTTTTCATCATCTCACATCGGGTCTACTGATTGGAGGCATATTTTATGGAAGCGGAAATGATGCAAGTCAAATCCTTTCAGTTTTCAAATATTGTATCAGTATTAATGTATTTTTCATGTACACTCATGTGATGTCTCCAGTATTACTATGTAAGTATCTCAATAAAATATTTTAAAAATGTTTCACTACCTAGGAGTCAAGAGATTGGTGTAGGAAACAAAATATTTTCTGATAAAAAGATGAATACAATGTTGTAAAATAAATAATTATGTAACTAAGAATCTTGTAAACTTTATATTATTATCATTATTTTAACCTTCTACAAAAATCAAAAGAGCGTCAGTCAAATCAGCGCCGGAGCTTTTTAAAATAGTGTCAGTCAAAATAGGGCCAAAAAAAAATTTAAAATTAAAATAATAAACAAAATCTGAACTAATTTACCTAACCTGTGCTTGAGCGATCGGTTAAATTTTAATGACATTTTATGTACAAAATTTAGCGATGGTTCCAGGCCGCACAGGTTAGGTAATTTACTTTTTACAAATTTCTTTAATCTATTTATGTATAAACAAAAGTGATATAGCTCTTTTTAGATCTTCTTACCGATAATAGGTTTAGCGCTCATCTATACTGTCGCTATTTAGGACGCGTTGTTTTGTCATACGACATTTTGTTCAGCGCCATTTTTGAAATATGTCAAAAATGATATTAAATATGTATATTTTTATTTCAGTTCCTTTAGAAGTTAGGTTATTGAAACGAGAGTATTTCAATAGATGGTTTAGTTTGAAGCCGTATTTTCTCGCAGTCACCGTTATCAATTTACCCATATTGGTAAGTTCAATTTGTGTTTAATAATATTTCAAGTCAAATGAGGAAGGTGTTAAAGATATTAGTTCTGAAAACTAGTAAATTGTATCTAAATGGAATATTGAATGTATATTTTTGCCAAAAATTTAGTAAATATACTGAAATATTTTTGAGAACTATCGTATATCGTATATCGTATATCGTATATCGTATATCGTATATCGTATATCGTATATCGTATATCGTATATCGTATATCGTATATCGTATATCGTATATCGTATATCGTATATCGTATATCGTATATCGTATATCGTATATCGTATATCGTATATCGTATATCGTATATCGTATATCGTATATCGTATATCGTATATCGTATATCGTATATCGTATATCGTATATCGTATATCGTATATCGTATATCGTATATCGTATATCGTATATCGTATATCGTATATCGTATATCGTATATCGTATATCGTATACCAATTCACTGAACCTACTCTAAATTTTGAATAACATATTATTAAATACAGCGGGGTTATATGTGGTTAGTATTTGGATGTGTAACCGCTTGGGGACACCTCTTGCTGTGCTTCTCTTTTTCTGTTGTATTTGACAATAACCGATTTTTGATTTTTGTTTTAAATTGCAGATATTTTGTGGAATACTATTCGTTTTGATTGTTTTCTGCCTCTCTGGACAACCAATGGAATTTGACAGATTCTTATGGTTTTCGTTAGTGGGAATCAGCGTCGGCTTAGCTTCGCAAGGCTTAGGATACACCATTGGAGCCACCTTTGATATCTTGGTAAGAAATATATAGGTATTTTAATAATATGATTTGTCTACTATATAAGTTTAATGAATTAAAAATTTTAATGCTGTCAAAAAGGAGCAGGACTTTTGAATCTAGTAACTTTCCAAACAGCTTACTTTTTATCTTATTTTTACCTTCACCCTAACCACAAATGTTGGGTTGGCTACAATGATTATGCCCTAACATCGTTGCTTTAAACAACTGTCATCGAGTCTATGTAAATGCCAAATTAATAGTGTTTTTCACTGGAATATTCAGTGCGTTCCGACTGTATTCTCATTTTCTTTTTTTCCACATCGATAAACAAGGATACAAATATACTCAGTGGGCACTATACTAGTGAAAAACGTTTCTCAAACTGACACAGTGACCATCAAAAATTCTATTAACAATAACTAACGGGATACTAGATTTTGGAGATATGTAAATCTAGATTAGAAGATTGTTTACAAACACTTTTTAATCAGTCTTTGTATTATTATTTTCAGAATGGATCCGTGGTAGCTCCCCATATTCTAGCAGTAATTCTAGCACTTGGAGTATACGGAATGGGTTACAAAAACAAAATAGAATCTTTTATGAAAGTGATAATATCGTTCAGTTATATGAGATTCGGTTTGGTCGGAATTGCAAGTTCTCTTTTTAACAACAGACAAGATATACCGTGTGAAGATTTCTACTGTCATTATAGGTGAGTAGAAGTTTTAATATACGACGCTATATATTATTTGAACAATATTTTTAGGGATCCGGAAGTACTGATGCAGGATATGGGCATGGATCGAACTTTGCCTGTTTACCAGTTCGGATACATCATGATATTTACGGTGTTCTTCAGGATCATCGCTTATCTTGCCTTAAAATACAGGATGACATCGGAACTTAGGAATAAGTTGGTGTATTATGCTACGAAAATTGTTAAACAAAAAGAAACTTAATTTTTTAACGATTTACAATTCTTTATTTATTATTTATTTATAGTGATGAACTAGGGCTTTATTTTATTATTTGTTTAGATAATATACTTAAAGATGTATGTGATATATATTTTATAGTTGTTAATGTCTTTTATATTGTGTTTAAATAATTTTTAAAAAAGATAACGTGATTTTTTACAACGTGCAATATCCATCTGAATAAAACAATTTTGAAAATAATTATATTTTTTCAATACTTCTATGTTTTGTTTCGTTGTATTCTTATTGGCAATTTCAGCTCTGTTTTTTGAATTTTTGTTATTGAAAAATTGCAGATTGTTCGGTATTCTTTCAGTTATTTCTATTAATATTTTGAGAAAAAGTGTATTATAATAATTTTAATATTTTTAGGCATATAATTTAATTTTAATAAAATAAAGAGTTATTGGTAAACAATCAGATTAATCAGAGGGTACTGCATGTTGTTAAATGAATTGAAATAGCAAGTGGTATATTATAATCAACTTTTTTGTACAAATTTTATAGGCTCTTTTTATAGTTGGTAAAAATTGAAAAGGATTACCGCCTTCTAAAAGTATTATAAAAGTAATATAAACATAAGGATATGTGTTTTTTATATACCTGTACTTTTAATAAAAATAAATATTTAAAAAGTTGTTAATCAAATATTGTTATTAAGAACTAAATGGTTTATTGATCTACAAATTAACTTACGACTATAATTCAACTGTTAGGTTTTGAAGGAGTGGTCGCCAACCTGTCGATCGCGAGCTACCGGTAGCTCGCGGAGGCAATTCTGGTAGCTCTCACAACGATTTTAATTTAAAAAATACAAACTGCAAAAATCAGAGACGCTTCCGAAAATTCCACAAAAAAATCTAATTGTCATAATATTAAACATAAACAGCGGCAACGTTGCGGTGAGCGATCTGCCACTGACGCCATTAAGCTAGAATCGGCTAGAACCGACCAGCCGGACCAGCGCGTTAGTGTTCGAGAACGATCAGAATTGCTTTGAACGGGATAAATACGCACGGCGCGACGACATTGCGCTTAGTTTAAAATTGAACGCGTAACCAACGTCCAGCGGTTGGGTTAATAGAGAACAACAAAAAATAATATTATGGCAAGCAGTTGTAAGAAGGTAAAGACATACCACTTTCATTCGGAAAGGTAAGAATAATACTTTTTTACAGAAGTTAAAGATAAAAATGTGTGTTTGTTATGTAATACTTCGGTCTCCGTTGCTAAAAAAGAAAATATTGAGAGACATCATAAAACTGTACATTCTAATTTTGAAAAATCATTCCCACTACATTCTGCCGCCAGAAAGGAGAAACTGAAACAGTTAAAAAAGTAGTTAATTGGACAACAATCAATATTTTTAAGAACAGTCGACAAAAATAAGGCTGCAACTGAAACATCGTACCGTGTGTCCCAGATAATTGCACAAAAAAAGAAACCTTATGAAGACGGGGAAATGATAAAACAGGCGTTTTTAGAAGCTGCTGATTCGTTATTTGCCAACTTTAGAAATAAAGACGAGATAGTTTCAGCTACAAAACCTATGCAACTTTCTGCTAATACAGTGATGAGACGTGTAGAACTAATGAGCAATGATATTTTTTTACAGTTAAGAACTGACTTAGATAACTGTGTTTTATTTTCACTTCAACTGGATGAATCAACAGATGTCGTTAACACTGCCCAGATGGCCGTGTTCGTCAGGATGGTTTTTAGTGATTTTACGATTAAAGAAGATCTTTTGAAGTTTATTCCACTGAAAGGACACACTACTGGACAGGAGTTGTTTTCTCATTTAAAAAATATTATTTCTTCTGAGAAAATTCCAATATCGAAAATGGTAGGCTTGACAATCGATGGCGCACCAGCTATGGTGGGTTGGGATAAGGGTCTGGTGGCGTTATGTCGTAAAGATCAAACTTTTCCGCAATTTCTCTGTTACCACTGCATTATCCATCAGCAAGCATTATGTGGAAATTTCCTGAAACTAAACAACGTTATGAAACTGGTGGTAAAAATTGTGAACAAGATTAGAGCTCAAGCGTTACAAAGAAGATTATTCAAAACCTTGGCCGATGAAGTTGACTGTCAATACGGGGACCTACTCCTTCACTCTGAGGTCCGATGGTTAAGTAGAGGATGGGTTTTAATGATGTCCTATCTGGCATAGTTCAATTTTTCAAACAACGCGATGAACCGACTCCGGAATTAGAAAATTCAATCTGGCTTAGAGATTTTGGTTTTCTCGTGGACATTACAGAAAAATTAAACGAACTTAATTAGCAGCTTCAGGGGAGAGACAAAGAACTAGCGGAAATGATTTCTGATATAAAAGCATTTATCAAAAAGCTGGAGTTTTGGGAACAAAACCTAATTAACAGCGATGCCCAGCATTTTCCTATTCCTTCAGAAAAAATATCTTAAAATCCATTATGACCCTATGATAGCAAATATCATGTAGAAATAGTTTCTACCCTGAAGAATAACTTCAAAAATCGTTTTAAGGATTTCAACGAAATGGCTTTAGTAGCGCAGTTTGTTGTTTTACCCTTTATGAAAATTGATATTCAACAGTTTGCAACTTGTGTTTTGCAGAACTTTGGCGAAGACATCGGTGCAACAGAAATGGAAGTAATTGTGTTTCAAAATGATTTAGCCTTAAAATCGTTAGTCTCAAGTACCAAATGTATCTGGCCTATTGTAAGTAACGACAAATATTCAGTTCTATGCCGTGTTGCCTTGAAAGTGAAAGCATTATTCAGTTCAACCTATTTGTGTGAATCTTCTTCTTCCAATATGAAGTTTATTAAGAACAAATATCGCAATCGACTTACAGATGAACATTTGGATAATTGTATTCGAATGGCTGTATCAAATTATACTGCAAACATTAAAAAAATTATCGAAGAGTCTGAGTGTCAGCCTTCTCATTGAACGTGCTTCTTTATTTTTCAATGTTTATGTTCATGATAGTGCGTTACTTTTTTGTTGTTATTATTAACTATTTTTAAATCTTACGTAACATATCGTTGTGGCTGGATAAAAGTTTGTGTTTATTTTTCAAACACCTTCGTTTGGTTGGTAGGAATGTAGCTATGAACAAGTACGTACTAGTAATATTAGTTATTTTGTTATTAGTTTATTATTAGTACCTATGTATTATGTATTACCAGTTAAATAGTAAAATAAATACATATAATGATAAATTAACTGTGGATTATTTCATTTACGTTGCGTTACGTGGCTTCCGTGTGGGTAGCTCGCTGTTTATTCCAAAATTAACAAAGTAGCTCAACACATTGAGAGGTTGACCACCACTGTTTTAAAGAAATGGTAAATTATAGTGAAAATTAAAAATATTAGAGGAAGTAAAAGTCGTAGCACCTATTACTTCCTCTAAAAAAAAAGAAGAGGTAAAGGGAAATATTTCGAATTAGTAGAGGTCGCGGACAGGATGAAAACATAAAAAGTGATTAAATATTGTGCAGCGACCCGTTCGGGGACGCTGACGGGATGTTTCGTCCGGAAATCTCTCATACAAAAATTGTCTGAAATAAAAATGGCGCCCGATAAAAAACCCGTGCACGTAGTGAGTTAAAGTGTGGCAAAGGGTGTTCAAAAAAATTATAAAAAAATTATTTGTTTTTATAGAATCGTCGAAAAGGGATATAGTAGTTATCGCAACAAGTGCTAGAAGATGCACTTTTACGCACGAAACTGCGTTACCCGCACGACATGCAGCGGAGTGCGGGTAAGCTGGTGAGTGCGTAAAAGTGCTTCTAGCACGTGTTACGATCAACACTTTTTCTACAAGCGCATTTATTTCTAAAATAGAGAATTAACCTGTATAATGACATTAGATACAACATACAGTTTACACACATATAATTAACCGATGTTATGTGCTGAATTGGTGTAGTGGTTAGGGTTTCGGGCTCATAACGCAAAGATCTTAGGTTCAAACCCGGGCATGGGCGAAAATATATTGTTTTTTTTTAAATTTATATTTCTCTGCGTGCGAGAAGATCATCTTCCCGCACGCTTGTAGAAAAAAGATATTTTCATAATGTCACAAAAAACGTGACAGTTGACATATGACATCAAGACCCTCCTAGGTGCCGTCTAACATCTCTTAAGCATCTACCAATAATACATTCACCCTTCAAATGTTCACCCAAATCGCCAAAAAGGGACCCAAAGACCTAAAAATACGATTTTTCGAAGTTTTTCCCGATTTTTTACGGTTTCCACGAAGACCGATAATTTTGACGTCGATTTTTTTAATAAAGCGTCTCGTGAGTTGAGATCTTCGGGCTAAGTTTCCTCGAAATCGGTTTATGCGTTCGGACGGTACAATTTTTTTAAAGTCGCCCCGAAACCCCTCATACGAAATTGGTCGAAAAAAAAAATGGCGCCCGACGAAAAATCCCTGTGCGTTGTGAGGTTAAACATTACTGTTTTATAAACATGTTCCATTTAAAATTACTAACAAATGCTAAAAAATATACAGATGGTTTTATTTAAAAAAAAATGCCTTTTAGTTTAATAAATTTCATAAAAATGCTACTGAAAATAATAGAAATTTTATCACGACTAAGAGTATTGTCTTGTAACCAGTTTTTTTTACCTTCACCGCTGCCGTTACAGCTGACGATCGAAAATCAGTTGGAATGTTTTTTGTACACAGGCCGACGCGTGGAGGAAGTATTTCATGAACGCATCGAGAGTTATCTAGCCAGGATTGGATTTTTTCAAGCTATTTACATTTATTTTAAAATAAATGTCGAATAAAGATAAATTGTTAAATAAATTAGAAGTGTGAAACATAAATAATGCCTTATTATAAATAAACTGTATTAAATAAATTAATTATTTTTAAAATAAACAAACGTTACAGTATTTTAAACATTGATTTAGAAATATAGGTACCTACATTTAATTTAAGGGAGGGGAAAAAAATGGTTGAAAATTTAATAAAACTCATAAAAAAAGTAATTTTATTCTTAGTTGCGAACTTCACCAAATTTATTTTTGGATATTTTTTATTTGATAGTTTACAAATTTCTATTTTCAGACAAATATTATTAAGTTTTTAAAAAACAGCAATAATGTTGGATATATATTTATTAAAATCACAATTTTTAAATTCAAATTTGGTATGTTTTATTTAATAATAAATACCTACGTACATTACTTATGTTTAAATAAATTATCAGATTTTTTTTAGAAGAATATATAACAATATTCGATGGTTATTTAATATAAGTACTCGATATTTATCTACTGGTGTACATTCCAGTTAAATATACATACCGGGTCATTCTATATGAGCGGAACACTTGATTTATGGCTTAACTATGACTTGTACGATAATTTGACTTAGATAAAAGTTTTTGTACATTATATGTACTATTTATTGACGTTTACAGATTTCCCGCATACGTAATGATTTTCAAGATATGAGGTCATCGGACAATATTTTAAATGGATCACCCTGTATTTATATTTTTTTTCGAGTTCGTATGATCTGTCTGATTTCATCAATGGTACATTAAGTGGGTCCAAGACTTATTTAAAATATTGCCCGATGACGTCATATCTTGAAAACCATTACGTATGCAGGAAATCTGTAAACGTCAATAAATAGTACATAAAATGTACAAAAACTTTTATCTAAGTCAAATTATCGTACAAGTCATAGTTAAGCCATAAATCAAGTGTTCCGCTCATATAGAATGACCCGTTCCGCCCATATAGAATGACCCTGTATAAATAAACCTGTTTGATTTTAATTAATAATTTAATTTTATAAAAACAATAATGTAGGTCTACCAGGGAACAAAATAAATACTTTTATATACCTGGAATATATTATTTTATATAAATAAAACCAGTCCTTTATTTATATCACATACTTTAAACGGTTTTTTTATTTAAGTAACTGGTTTTCGAAATTCTGGAGACAAATTTGAAGCAATTTGCATACAAGACCACAGTCTTTGTTGTGTGACGTAAGGCAGAACTTTGGCCACTTCAATTGAACCCTAAAAAATAAAGAAGAAAATTTGATAATGTATTTATAAATTGTTCAATGTTTCTTTAAGTTAAGAATAAGAAGTTGGTGTTGGTGTAATTATTATTACCAAATATTTTTTCTTTCGGCCAGGTTCCTGTCCAAAATATACTAGCGAATCTGCTGGAATACCAAATTGTCCAAGAGATTTTCTTTGTTTAACATTCTCAAATCTGCTTGGTTCGCAATCTAGATCTAATCGAATCATACCATTTTTTGTATCAAACGAAATCGATATCCAGTTCCAAGCTAAAAAATAAAAATAATATAATTTTGTACAATTTGATACTGTTTCGTTTTAGAAGATTTACCTGCCATTGGAGATTTCCTGTGATGCTTAGGCAATCCCCAATCGATCTGTTTGATCTTGTTCAACCCCTTCAACCTGTATTTCACAGTTAAAATTCCTGTTTTTGAATTGCTAATAACTTGAAACCAAGGAGTCAATCTCCCAGGAGAGTTCACTGACATCAGTGTTCCTAGGTTATTCTTTTGCTGCCTCAACAAAAAAATTGCTGTGAAACCACTGGGGTTATTCATGGCCGTGGTAACATTGGTGGCGTTTGACAAAAGGACATTTCCATAAGGAAGCCGGAACTTGTAGGCAGGATAATTACGAATCGGACCTTCAATTGCTGATACTCCTTGATCTTTTGGAGATATGTTAAGGAGTTTGAGTATGTCTACTTCGCCTAGTAAAAAAAATTAATCAAAAAGCGATATAAGAGTTGTTCCAAATATTTTATCATTTTTTTTTTATTAGTTTTCCTATGTTAACCAAAGCATCAATTTAAAATTATTTTTATATACAGGGTGTCTGTAAAAGGTCTTTACAAAAACATACCATATATTCCTTAGACCAAAATAAGTCGATTTAAGTAAAATTACCATAGTACCAAGTTGCTTCGTTTGGGCTCCATGGGGCCTTGAAGTTACAATTTTTAAATCGTTTTTCCCATATGAATTTAAAACGGCATATGCGATTTTCCTGAAATTTGGTATATTGGTAGAATTTTATGTGGCAAAAAAAATGGTATTAAAATTTTGTCCGATAATAATACATAGGCGTAAAACTTGATTTTTTAAATATTTGCACCTTTAAAAATTCTACGCCAATGGAAGAAAAGGAGTTTGAGTATGAAATTTAGATTGCGCAACTCATTTACTTTAAAAAAGGTACTACTGATAAGACTCGATTACTCTCATGGTTTTGACGAAATTTGCATTTTAGTAATTTTAGAACATAAACAATAATTATTAAAATACAAACTTTGTCAAAACCATGAGAGTAAATCGAGTGTTATCAAGGGTACTTTTTTGTAGTAAATGAGTACCCAATCCAAATTTCATACTCAAACCCCTTTTTTGCCATTGGCGTAGAATTTTTAAAGGTGCAATTATTTAAAAAATCAAGTGCTACGCCTATTTTATACGATGAAAAACATAAAAATGTACTTTTTTCATATCTTCTTCAACACCTCTAATCGAGACTTTTAACAAAAATACTCGATTCTTGCCATGTACGATTTTTTGAGGAATATTAATTATTTGCCTGCAATACGTATACAAAAACATTTATTGTTGGTTTCCATAGTTTCATCTAAATAAAATTATTGTCAAGTTTTAACACCTAATCTCTTGTTAACGATTGAACGTGTTCTATCTGACTTAATAATGAAAAAAACAAATGCGTGGTTTATTAATATGGCTGTACAATATACCAATGCAGAATATACCGATATGTTACTGACATTAGGATTTTGTGAAGGAAATGCTCGAGAGAGTGTCAGCGTGTACTCTGAAAGGTTTCCAAATCGTCGTGTACCTAGCCACCCAACTTTTGGTGCTGTTGAGAGACGTCTTCGGGAGACCGGTTCCTTTGCTCTCAACACTGTTGATAATGGAAGAGAACGTTTTGTAAGGATTCCTGAAGTTGAAGAAGACATTTTAGAACGTGTTGAAGAAGATCCAGAATTAAGCATCAGACGAATTGGAAGGGAACTAGGAGTAAGTAAAGATGTCGTTCATAAAGTGCTTAGAGAACAATTGTCATATCCATACCATAAGAAGCCAGTACAAGAATTATTAGTCCATGATCCTCAAATTCGTTTGGGTTTTTGTCGATTTGTTAATATGCAAAGAGAAAGAGATCCAAACTTTGTCAAGAAGATTCTCTTTACCGATGAAGCGGGTTTTACAAGAAGAGGTATAACTAATACCCATAATAAACATGTTTATGCCGTTGAAAATCCGCATGCAATAAAGGTAAACCATTTTCAGCACGAATTCAAAATTAATGTGTGGGCTGGAATAATTGGTAATTTCATTGTTGATCCTGTCACACTTCCACGAAGATTAACTGGAGAAAATTATTTGGATTTTCTACAAAATACGTTGCCAGAATTGTTAGAATATTTACCACTCCAACTTCGGAGAGATATGTGGTTTATGCAAGATGCTCCACCACATTTTTCTTTAAACGTTAGAAACCACTTGAATGAACAATATCCACACAATTGGATAGGCAAAGGGAATGACGCACCTGTAAACTGGCCACCACGTTCCCCAGACCTAACACCGATGGCTTACTTTTTATGGGGACATCTGAAATCCACAGTTTACAGGGAACCTGTAGAAAATGAGGAACAACTCTGGCAACGTATTCAAGATGCAATAAACAATCTTAGAGGTGATGAAGAAGTTATGGAAAGGATAGATTTTAATTTTCTTCGACGTATAAATCTTTGCATGCGTGAAAATGGTGAATATTTTGAACAATTTTTGTAAAATCTCTATTTTGATTATGTTGTAAATAAATATTTTTGTGAAACCTATACACTCTAAATTATTAAAACAGAAATTTAGCGAAAACCATGAGAGTAATCGAGTCTTATCAAGAGTACCTTTTTTAAAGTAAATGAGTTGCGCAATCTAAATTTCATAATCAAACTCCTTTTCTTCCATTGACGTAGAATTTTTAAAGGTACAATTATTTAAAAAATCAAGTTCTACGCCTGTGTTTTTTTGCCACATAAAACTCTAACAATATACCAAATTTTAGCAAAATCGCATATGCCGCTTTAAATTTATATGGGAAAAACGATTTAAAAATTGTAACTTCAAGGCCCTCTGGAGCCCAAACGAATTACTAAGGTAATTTTACTTAAATCGACTTATTTTGGTCTAAGGAATATGTGTAAAGACCTTTTACAGACACCCACCCTGTATATCTATTTATAATGTATTTAAATATTTTTTTGCCAAGAAGTACAAACTAAACAGTTTTTATTAGATTTTACTTTTTTTATAGACTTTGAAACGCTATGGCGGATGGAAATCATTAGCTGAGGACTACGTAGATGGTTACATAAGAAATAAAATAGATCAAGTTCCATAAAGTGAATAATTCCAATTATTATGCCAACAATAAAAGATTTTTTTACAAATAATAAGAATATTAATTATATTTCTGCATCTCTGTTTATAAAGGCCCATTCAGTATAAGACCCTGTATTTAGTTTGATAAATTTTAATTATCAACCTTTGAAGGCAAGTAAAACCAAAATAATAAAAGTTTGTCTATTACCTATCAGTTGAGCAATCAAAAATGATTCTATAATATAACCAACTGATGCTTATTCGAGTTTCATTGGGTTTTTTATAACTTTCTAAACATTGTTTATTCAACAATATTTTGTCACAGTTGTAAATTACCTAATAATACTTAATGGTGTGGAAAAAGCATAAAATTACCTAAGTTATCTATTTAAAAAAATATAATTTTAATAGTTATACCTCCATCAACAGCAAAAGGTATAATATATTGACTCAGGCTGTAGGTATTAAAAATTTCTGGATTTACGTTATTTAATTTATATAGTTTTGCTCCAAATATCAATAGTTTATTTGTTTTTATTTTAGTACAGAGCCTGCATCAATATTAGTATCCCATGTCTAGTTTTAGGGGAAAATTACAATATGTATCTCCTCTAATATTTCCATGAAATACAGGTCAAGAAATTTAAAAACCTGATAGTAAAAATTGAATAAAATATCAATTTTACTTTCATAATGTGATAAATAAATTTAAACAGTGCTAATTGAACTAAATTATTTATTAAAAAGAATCTATTCATGAAAAATATTTTTTAATTTTTGATTATTTAACATTTTTGATCTTATTTTCCAATCGGTTCAAAATTATGCTAAATTTAAATAGAATATTCCTAATGTTAAAACAAAATTTCAATACATCAGTCACAGCTTGTAATTTTGAGTTTTACTTTACCTTGTAAGAGGCTGGCTGGCGATTTTAAATTCCTGTGAAACACATGGCTGTCGTCTATTTCGTTTTCTAACGGATCAATCGCCAGAATAATATTAAGGAAGACGAGTAGAATTATTGTCGTGAATGTTTTTATTGAACTAAACATCTTGAGCTAAAAATTAAAGATTATAACGTACATTCAAATTTATGGGCCAGAAAATAGATATTTAGAATACTTTCTGACAGACTCTGAAAAGGTTTGCTTGAATCAACAAATATAATTTGTTTAAAATATTTAATATTGTATTTAAGAGCACCATCTTTCTTGTTTAAATATCGAAGGGTAAACCGCTGCTGCGGTATTCCTAAGGAGAATTCCACCCAATAGTAGCGTGTCTATATTTCATCATAAATTTGCTCTGGCTGGTGTAATGAAATTAATTTTTTTTTTGTCACGGTGCCCGATCTAGAGAATTGTCCCGGTGCCCGGCCTATTTTTATGTATGAGAGAGTAATAAAACAGCATTTCTAATGCAAAACTTAGTACGGTCATTTTAAATATTTTTACAGAATAATCTAAATATTTCCTAAAATTGTTATAAATGTACCTGAGCTATTATAAGTTTCGGGTCTTTTATTGGTCCTTTATAAATATAAGCTGTACAGAATAATAAAAAAGGTTTGGACAGGCCAAAAGCCCTGTGTATTAAAGATTACATAGCCGTATCTTAAGATTATTTTTAATAAGTACTTATTTGCCAATTTTGTTTTATTTTAATTCCAAGAATTTCTTACAGTAATCGAATTATAAGTATTCCCAACAAATTTCACCGAAAATGCGATTATAGTTTTTCCATTTAGTAAGGAGGTCCTAGTTGTGTATTCTTGACAGTTTACTAAATGTCGTTTAGTTGCAACTTGCAAGGTGCAGTGTGAATTCTAGTGTGATCATGGAAAATTTGGAAGGGCCGCGTAAACGACAAAAAATCGGTTCCTTAACAGTTAATGAAAAAACATTAATATTTAATTGTTTTAAATCATATACAGACAAACATTTATGTAAAAGTGTTGATGACACAGTGGAATTAGTTAGTAGTACGCTTGGTGTTGGGAAATCTACGATTTACAGAGTTGTTAAAGAAGAGAAATGTGGCGAGTTTCAAACAGCACGTAAAGCTCCAGGGAAACCAAAATTTCAATTAGAAAATCTTTTGAAACAAAGACTTCGAAGGAAAGTGCATGCGTTCTTCTTTAGAAAAGAATTTCCGACAGTAGACAAAGTTCTTGCCTCGGTTCGAGATGATAAGGATTACTCTGAAATGAGTCGAAGCACACTATGGAAACTTTTAAAAGAAATAGGTTTTCCATGGAACAAGCATTTCAGAAAGTCTATTTTAATAGAAAGAAGCGATATTGTAGTATGGAGAAGAAATTACCTAAGGACTATAAAAGAAATGAGAAACGAAAGAAGAAATATATTTTATTTAGATGAAACATGGATCAACGAGGGACATAAACCAAATAAATTTTGGCAAGATGAAACTGTTACAAGTCGAAGACAGGCTTTTTTAAATAATTTATCTACTGGTTTAAATCGACCATCAGGAAAGGGGCGCAGACTAATAATAGTACACATCGGTAGATCAAACGGTTTTGTTTAAGGTGGTTTATTGACTTTTGAATCTACTCGTACCAGTGACTACCATGACGACATAAATGCTGATGTCTTTAAAGAGTGGTTCGAACAAATTATAGATCTTCTTCCTCAGAACTGTATAATAGTAATGGATAATGCAAGTTATCACTCGAGACTTATAGAAAAAATGCCCACAACCAAATGGTTAAATAAAGATTTACAGAATTGGCTAAATTCAAAGAATATTAAGTTCCATCCCGGTTCTGTGAGAAAAGAACTGTATCATTTGTGTTCCCTTCATAAAGAGAAATTCAAAAAATATAAAATTGATGAAATTGCAAAAAATCGTGGGATGATGGTGGTTAGATCACCACCATATCATTGCGAAGTAAACCCGATTGAACTGATATGGGCACAGATAAAGGTAGAAGTTTCAAGAAAAAATAATTCTTTTAGAATGAGTGATGTTAAACAGTTGTTTTTGGAGGCTGTAAATAATGTGAAGCCTGAAAACTGGGAAAAGGCAGTAAATCATACGATTAAAGAAGATGAGAAAATGTGGAAGTTGGACAATATTACTGATGAAATGATCGAGCCACTCATTGTAAATATTGGTTGCGACAGTTCATCTTCTGATTTCGATTCTGATTTGGATTTGTAGGTAAGAAGTGGTTTTTATATTAAAATTATTATTTATGAACGTAACGTTGTTTAAAAGTCAAAGTTTAAACCCTTATACCTACATAACCCGTTTGACACAATATTCTTAACATACCTTGTGGAAAAATAAAACATTTTAGAAAAAATTGCACTTTTTTACCTTCAGCTGTTTAGAAGTTATAAGCAGGTTAATTAGGTGAAAATAAAAGTGTATACTCGAGGAATAACTTCAAAAAATATTTTAACTGTCTACTAAAAGCTGGATACTATGGATTACGAACGCTTTATTATTTTAGTACTCTCTCATACATAAAAATAGACTTATATATAGTAAATAGAATATTTCAAAGCTTTTTTGATATCAATAACTATTTATATGCATTCAAGGAACGCATTATATTTTTGGGGACGTATAAAATTTGGGTGCTAAATTATTAACTAAAATAGGGTGTTAAAAAAACATTACTTCGATTAAAAAAGCTTTCGTAAATTACCCTGTAAGATAAATTATAGAAAAATACTTAATGGATGCTGAGTAATGATTTGTGACTAGAATGTTGTGGCATTCTGTACAAAATTATCATTAAAAAAAGTTAGTATTAATATTTTTTAGTCTTTCTTACCTTATACATTTATTATCCTGTTTAAACTCGTTCCATTTTTCCTATTAACACGTTAATTCGAATTCGCCTTGCTAATTAAAACAAACGAACAATAGAAAGGAATAACAAAGCACTTTTTACTTCCTGAGTCAAGTACTCGAGTGCTGCGACCGCTAGCACTTAGCACTATGCAGTTGCAGTTTATATTTTTTTATTCAATTAAATTGAGAAATGAGAACAATTCTTTTCTTTCTTCTGTCGCGGTCAGTCGAGCTCAAGTTGTTTGGTGCGCAATCTCCCTTCTATCGAGCTGTTTTGACATTAAATTTCAGACTGCTCTGCTGCATATTTTGATATCTTATCCTAGATAGCGGACGCGTAAATACATTTATAAAGGGTGCTGGTTATGGTTGAGGGCTCGTCCGAAAGGACCATAGTGTCACACAACTCAATCCTACGTCTAGTTTTTTAATATACAGGGTGGACGGATTGATAGTTTAGGTTTTGGAAAGAAGTTTATTTTTAAATTACAAATAGTAATAATAACAACTTAATTATATACAGGGTAAATCTAAATACAGGGCGTTGAAGTTGTAAATATGGTCATTTTTACTTCTAAGTCTATCCAGAAGGAACATATGATTTTTTAAAAAGGGCCTGGCTCATAACAAACTTCTATGATTAGAGTAAAGGGGGGAATGGTGGCCGCTGGGATAATGGTAGCCATCAAATGTCAAATCCTTTTCACTGATAGAAATTGAAAAGTTATTTTTTTTCTACTAAATGATTTAAATAAATTAAATAACTTTTCAAAATACGATTCAATATAAATATTCAAACATTTTGAAGCAATGAATATTAGTAAAAAGAAAACTGTTTTCAAGTAAATAATGGAATTAAGAAGAAAGACATTGTCTAATTAATGCTATTTATATTTAAAATTAAATCAGGATCTTACAGTATATTTATAAAATATTTTAAGTTATAATAAGGTTATTCATGAACACAATATACAGCAAAATTTTAGAGTTTATAAGACCACGAAAAAATGTATTTGCTGATCATTAGATGTTTTTTTCTTTTATTCTTTTATTATGTTTTTTTATTAAATATTGATTCCAAATAATTTTAAAATTAAAAAAAAAATTGAATTTAAAAATTTGGTGGATGATCTTACATTTCCCATTGTTACATAGAAAATTTAAAAATTTGGTGGATTACATTATTAGTTACGTAATTTCCATTTTAAATTTTGGTGGATACACTGAAAATTTATACCTATTTAGTAAGTCCATCCTGTTTGTTGCATCAACAAGCATATTGACTGGCGAGGATTAAGAACATCCTTATTTTGTGTGAATATGTGGTATGTTTTTGTAAAACACATATACTTATTAATTCTTTACTAAAAACAGATAACAATATGACACAATGCCCATTGGCACCTAACGAGAAGTTTTATAATATAAAAATGAAAAAATCCTACCACATCAATAATGTGATGCATCAGCCGGCACGTAGAGAGAAACAGAGCTATGCTACGTTTGAGAGCGAAGAGAAAGATACACTGAGAGTCGATGAAATTGGCGATGAGAATTTATTACAGCGTAAACCTATGACATCTCTCATCGTTTATTATTATATTTTTGTTAATTCAAAAGCAAAAAATATGGTGTTTACTCTGTTACCTTGTCAACACATAAGCAAAAATTTTATAAGATTTTTTTTTTTCATTTAGGCCTTCCTTTTTTGTAAAATGAGTGGTACATTTAAAAAAGACGACTTTTTAACCAAATAATTTTTTTTAAATAAGTATAAACAATTACTACTTACAAAAATTGTATTGTGCATTGGACCAAAAAATGAGTGAGTGAATCTCAAAATATTCTAAATGCAAATAAAGTAAATATAAATAAAGTAAATGTACAAGTGAATTTTGATTTTTTTGCAGGTACGGGGTATTAGAACTAGACCAACGATATGAATATTCATAAAAAGAATATGCTAATAATGTATAATTGTTATCTGAGTTAACGATACGATTTTCATTTAATAAATAAAAATTACAATGACACTACACTGACCTTGCTGATAACGATAGACTGTAACTGTATTAGAATTAAAATTTAGTAAACAACATAATGTGTACTAAAGCGGTTTATTTATCAAACATTCTAATAAATAACTCTAAAACATCTGTTAAAAATACACTATATGAATCAAAAAGAAGTTTAACTACGAAACTAATATATAATAATTATGGTAATCCTTCAGATGTTGTTAATAAAGTTACCGAAAATACGCCAGAACCAGGTAAAAATGAAGTGTTGATAGAAATTTTAGCTGCGCCCATTAACCCCGTAGATATAAACCTAATCCAAGGTAAATATCCTATTAAAAAACCACTTCCTGCTGTCGCAGGATACGAAGGAACAGGAAGAATAATAAAACTAGGTGAAAAAGTTGAAAAATTTCAAGTAGGCGACCATGTAATACCTGTTGAATACAATCTAGGAACTTGGAGATCACATTTATTAGTGCACCAAAACGTATTAAAGAAATTACCACGCGATTTACCACCAGCTGTAGCTTCAATATTAATGGTAAATCCACTCACAGTATACAGAATGTTAAAAGATTTCGTGACTTTACAGCTAGGCGATACTGTCATACAAAATGGTTCGAATTCATCTTGTGGGCAATTAGTTATACAATTATGTAAATTTTGGGGTTTTAAAACAATAAACATCGTGAGAAGCAGAGAAAATATTGATGAATTAAAGCAAGAATTGAAAAAATTGGGTGCGAATTATGTGCTTACTGAAGAAGAATTGAGATCTACAGATTTGTTTAAATCGGGAGAAATTAAAAAGCCTAATTTGGGACTAAATTGTATTGGAGGAAAGAGTTCTTCGGAGTTATTGAGAAAACTGGATTATAGCGGAACATTAGTCACTTACGGGGGAATGTCTACGCAACCAGTTACCATTCCAGTTTCTGCATTGATTTTTAAAAATATAAAATTCGTTGGTTTTAACGTGAATCGTTGGAACGCAAATTGCAGTAAAGAAGAAAGGGATAGAACTCTTGACGAGCTAATTTCTATGTTTTTGAATGGACAATTAACGAGCCCTGCTTATACTTCAATTCATTTGGACAATTTCAAAGAAGCTTTACACGTTGGTTTTTCGAATAAAAAATACATTTTTGAGATTAAAAAATAAATAATATGATTTATCAAAACTATTTTACTAAATCCTAACGCCTATTTATTGTTCCCTATACTTTCTCTTCTAAAGGAAAAATATTTCGGATCCACTACTATATCTATTTTTATGTATGAGAGAGTATTAAAATAATAAAGCGTTCGTAATCCATAGGCGTATCACTTCTTTTAGTAGACAGTTAAAATATTTTTTGAAGTTATTCCTCGAGTATACACTTATATTTTCACCTAATTAACCTGCTTATAATTTCTAAACAGCTGAAGGTAAAAAAGTGCAATTTTTTCTAAAATGTTTTATTTTTCCACAAGGTATGTTAAGAACATTGTGTCAAACGGGTTATGTAGGTATAAGGGTTTAAACTTTAAATTTTAAACAACGTTACGTTCATAAATAATAATTTTAATATAAAAACTACTTCTTACCTACAAATTAAAATCAGAATCGAAATCAGAAGATGAACTGTCGCAACCAATATTTACAATGAGTGCCTCGATCATTTCATCAGTAATATTGTCCAACTTCCACATTTTCTCTTCTTCTTTAATCGTATGATTTACTACCTTTTCCCAATTTTCAGGCTTCACATTATTTACAGCCTCCAAAAACAATTGTTTAACATCACTCATTTTAAAAGAATTATTTTTTCTTGAAACTTCTCCCTTTATCTGTGCCCATATCAGTTCAATCGGGTTTACTTCGTAATGATATGGTAGTGATCTAACCACCATCATCCCACGATTTTTTGCAATTTCATCAATTTCATATTTTTTGAATTTCTCTTTATGAAGGGAACACAAATGATACAGTTCTTTTCTCACAGAACCGGGATGGAACTTAATATTCTTTGAATTTAGCCAATTCTGTAAATCTTTTTTTAACCACTTGGTTGTGGGCATTTTTTCTATAAGTCTCGAGTGATAACTTGCATTATCCATTACTATTATAAAGTTCTGAGGAAGAAGATCTATAATTTTTCGAACCACTCTTTAAAGACATCAGCATTTATGTCGTCATGGTAGTCACTGGTACGAGTAGATTCAAAAGTCAATAAACCACCTTTAACAAAACCGTTTGAACTACCGATGTGTACTATTATTAGTCTGCGCCCCTTTCCTGATGGTGGATTTAAACCAGTAGATAAATTATTTAAAAAAGCCTGTCTTCGACTTGTAACAGTTTAATCTTGCCAAAATTTATTTGGTTTATGTCCCTCGTTGATCCATGTTTCATCTAAATAAAATATATTTCTTCTTTGGTTCCTCATTTCTTTTATAGTTCTTAGGTTATTTCTTCTCCATACTACACTATCGCTTCTTTCTATTAAAATAGACTTTCTGGAATGCTTTTTCCATAGAAAACCTATTTCTTTTAAAAGTTTTCATAGTGTGCTTAGACTCATTTCAGGGTAATCCTTATCATCTCGAACCGTGGCAAGAACTTTGTCTACTGTCAGAAATTTTTTTCTAAAGGAGAACGCATGCACTTTCCTTCGAATTCTTTCTTTCAAAAGATTTTCAAATTGAAATTTTGGTTTTCCTGGAGCTTTACGTGCTGTTTGAAACTCGCCACATTTCTCTTCTTTAACAACTCTGTAAATCGTGGATTTCCCAACACCAAGCGTACCACTAACTAATTCCACTGTGTCATCAACACTTTTACATAAATGTTTGTCTGTAAATGATTTAGAACAATTAAATATTAATGTTTTTTCATTAACTGTTATAGGACCGATTTTTTGTCGTTTACGCGGCCCTTCCAAATTTTCCATGATCACACTAGAATTCACACTGCACCTTGCAAGTTGCAACTAAACAACATTTAGTAAACTGTCAAGAATACACAACTTGGACCTTTTTACTAAATGGAAAACCTATAATCGCATTTTCGGTGAAATTCGATTACTGTAAGAAATTCTTAGAATTAAAATAAAACAAAATTGGCAAATAGGTACTTATTGAAAATAATCTTAAGATACGGCTATGTAATCTTTAATACACAGGGCTTTTGGCCTGTCCAAACCTTTTTCTATTTTTCTGTACAGCTTATGTTTATAAAGAACCAATAAAAGACCCAAAACTTGTAATAGCTCAGGTACATTTATTACAATTTTAGGAAATATTTAGATTATTCTGTAAAAATATTTAAAATGACCGTACTAAGTTTTGCATTAGACATGCTGTTTTATTACTCTCTCATACATAAAAATAAACTATAACCACTACTGTTGAATGACTCATGGACAGGGCTGGACTAGCCATGAACATGGGGAACAATATACTACTTATATTAACCATTTGAAATTTGAAAAACATAAAACATAAATTTATAAAATTTGTCAAAAAAAATTTATTGAAAAATAAGAACATATAACAACATATGTTTATATCGTCCTCCAAAGAAAACTTCTCTAGAAAACGACCAACAGCTTTTTGAGGTTCTTTCAAATCTATCTATTTCCCATGACAATCTTGTGGTGGTTGGGGATTTCAACTATCCAGAAATTTCCTGGTCCCTTACTGCAGGTCTTGAAGTATCGCAAAACTCTGTTTCACACTTCATAAATTTTATTGTAGACTCAAATCTTGAACAACTTATAAACGAACCTACCCGCTTTCGCTTAAATCAAGAACCTTCAACTCTGGACCTTATATTAACAAATGACGACCAACTTCTAATTTCTCCATCTGTCCACTCACCTATTGGGAAATCTGACCATGGCGTTATTATATTTAACATGCAATTTAACATAGAAACCCCTAATTCCGATAGGGACGTAACCTATAGTGTCACAAACTTTAATAACGTAAAGAGAGTCCTCTCCGAAATTGATTGGGATCACTTTTTTAGAAGTACTGTATTAGTAGAAGATATGTGGACACTATTTCATACAAAGATATCTGAAATTGTAAAGGCTAACACAAAAAACAAAAAATGTCCTCAGAACAAATTAAAACCCTGGATCAATGGACAACTTTTAACTTTAATTAAACATAAGAAAAATATGTGGAAAAAATTTAAAGCTACCAAAAGACATGATGATTTTGTTAACCATCGACGTTTCGCAAACGATTTAATCAATATTATTGATAACGCAAGAAGAGAATACGAAGAATATATCGCTAGTAGCGATAACCCTAAGAAGCTATTTAAACACATAAGATACTCTCTATCTTCTAAAGTATCAGTACCACTTCTTAAAAAAACGGATGGAAACTTATGTAATAATGATCAAGAAACAGCCGAAGCTCTGGCCAACCATTTTTCACAAGTATTTTCCTTAGAACCCACAGGCGACATTCCAGTTAGTCACGATGCCCGAACAGCAACTTCTTTATGTAATGTCGAGTTCTCATCTGCAATTGTTAATGAAAATCTCAAAAAAATCAAATCAAATTCCTCACCTGGAATAGATATTTTATCCGCAATGCTTTTAAAAGAATGCGCATCATATTTGGCTTTACCTCTATCCATTATTATGACATCTTCTTTTACATCTCACACACTTCCTTCAATGTGGAAAATTGCTTCGGTGACACCTATTTTTAAAAAGGGTGACAAACTCAGTCCATCCAACTATCGTCCAATAAGCCTCGTCCCAATCGCTTGTAAAATAATGGAATCCATCTTAACCAATTATATGTCTGATTTTTTTAAGAGCTATGACGTCTTGCCAAAAGAACAACACGGTTTTATTAAAGGCCGATCCACATTAACAAACCTAATGACCTGTTTAAACGATTGGACTACGTCTGTGGACAATAAAGAGCCTGTCGATGTCGTATATCTTGATTTCGCTAAAGCCTTTGATCGTGTTCCCAAAAAGAGATTGCTTTATAAAGTGGAAAAAGCTGGTATTCGCGGCTCTTTACTTCTCTGGATAAGTGATTTTTTGTCAAATCGCATCTTCAAGGTAAAAGTTGGACAGATGTTCTCGTCAGAGTATCCAGTTCTAAGTGGTGTCTCTCAAGGCTCTGTCATAGGGCCATTACTATTCCTGGTATACGCTGCAGATCTAGGCAAAGACTTAAATTCTAATATTTCGTGTTACGCTGATGACACTAAGCTATACTGTAATCCTGTGACAGATTCTACCCAGCTACAAAAAGACCTTGAAACTATTTCAAACTGGTGTGACACCTGGCTGCTTCCTTTAAACGCGGAAAAATGTGTCGTCCGGCATATAGGAAAAAATAACCCGTGCGTGAACTATTATTTAAACGGTAGTGCGTTAGCAACTGTGAACTCCTATAACGACCTGGGACTCATTGTAAACTCTTCATTAACGTGGTCAGAACACATATCAGCGGTATGTAAACGTTCGAACTCAATGATCTACCTATTAAAAAAGTCCTTTACGCGTGTGAACTTTCAAACATTTTCTAAACTTTATACAACTTACGTTAGACCGTTGATGGAATATGTCGGACCTGCGTGGTGTCCTGATTTGGTTTCTGATCAAAAAAGATTGGAAAATGTTCAACGCTACGCTACTCGAATACCTTTCGGCAGAATCAGACCATCGTATGAAGAACGGCTTAACATGGCGAATTTGTGTTCATTTGCCCACAGAAGATTAAGGGGTGATTTAATTGTGACATACAGAATTTTTCATGGTACTTTTTCATCAAACCTAATTAGTTTGTAATAATAATAATAATAATATATTTTTGGGTGGCTCAGTGGCTAAAGTCTGGCCTTTCGGATCCAAATGACCCGGGTTCGAATCCACCGGCGATTTTTATTTAATTTAATTAATTAAAAATTTTTCCTAATAGGCAGAATTCCCATTCGACCATTCACTGTTGGGTTCTAATTAACAGTGCTGTTCCTAAAGTAGTGCTGGAAAATAGTAACAAATCCTGCATATAACACGAGGCTAATAACCTTAGTATTTGATATCAATGATACTATATTAAAAAAAAATATTTCTTAAACATTTAATTTACAATATCTGAAAGCTAATGTAAAATTCGATTTTTCTTATAAACTTTATCAGCATCATCATCATCATCAAAATATTGATCTTTTTTTATAGATAAAGTCGGATTCTACGATAAAATTTCTTCTGGCGTTAATTTAACAATTTTTTCCGAGTGACTCCACAAAAGCTGGCAAAGTTTCTTGTTGTAAGCTTGTATCGGTTTGAAGCGAGAATTTCCTTCCCCAAAAAAGTTTCCTGTTACCCCTTCCATTTCCCTGGAGCAGGCTAAATGTAATGCTATTTGAGCGCCTTCCTCAGGACTCTAAAACAAAATAGATTCATCCTTGGTTGTTAGAAAAGAAAGAAATAAATAAATATAAAGGGTAGCCTATTGAAGCCTATAGTATTAATGGGTCATACTGTATATTAAAATCGATTCCTATACTATAGTCTATTTTTATGTATGAGAGAGTATTAAAATAATAAAGCGTTCGTAATCCATAGGCGTATCACTTTTTTTAGTAGACAGTTAAAATATTTTTTGAAGTTATTCCTCGAGTATACACTTATATTTTCTCCTAATTAACCTGCTTATAACTTCTAAACAGCTGAAGGTAAAAAAGTGCAATTTTTTCTAAAATGTTTTATTTTTCCGCAAGGTATGTTAAAAACATTGTGTCAAACGGGTTATGTAGGTATAAGGGTTTAAACTTTGACTTTTAAACAACGTTACGTTCATAAATAATAATTTTAATATAAAAACTACTTCTTACCTACAAATCCAAATCAGAATCGAAATCAGAAGATGAAATGTCGCAACCAATATTTACAATGAGTGGCTCGATCATTTCATCAGTAATATTGTCCAACTTCCACATTTTCTCTTCTTATTTAATCGTATGATTTACTGCCTTTTCCCAGTTTTCAGGCTTCACATTATTTATAGCCTCCAAAAACAACTGTTTAACATCACTCATTTTAAAAGAATTATATTTTCTTGAAACTCCTCCTTTTATCTGTGCCCATATCAGTTTAATCGGGTTTACTTCGCAATGATATGGTGGTGATCTAACCACCGCCATCCCACGATTTTTTGCAATTTCATCAATTTCATATTTTTTGAATTTCTCTTTACGAAGGGAACACAAATGATACAGTTCTTTTCTCACAGAACCGGGATGGAACTTAATATTCTTTGAATTTAGCCAATTCTGTAAATCTTTTTTTAACCACTTGGTTGTGGGCATTTTTTCTATAAGTCTCGAGTGATAACTTGCATTATCCATTACTATTATACAGTTCTGAGGAAGAAGATCTATAATTTGTTCGAACCACCCTTTAAAGACATCAGCATTCATGTATTCATGGTAGTCACCGGTACGAGTAGATTCAAAAGTCAATAAACCACCTTTAACAAAACCGTTTGAACTACCGATGTGTACTATTATTAGTCTGCGCCCCTTTTCTGATGGTGGATTTAAACCAGTAGATAAATTATTTAAAAAAGCCTGTCTTCGACTTGTAACAGTTTCATCTTGCCAAAATTTATTTGGTTTATGTCCCTCGTTGATCCATGTTTCATCTAAATAAAATATATTTCTTTTTTGGTTTCTCATTTCTTTTATAGTCCTTAGGTAATTTCTTCTCCATACTACAATATCGCTTCTTTCTATTAAAATAGACTTTCTGGAATGCTTTTTCCATAGAAAACCTATTTCTTTTAAAAGTTTCCATAGTGTGCTTCGACTCATTTCAGGGTAATCCTTATCATCTCGAACCGTGGCAAGAACTTTGTCTACAGTCGGAAATTCTTTTCTAAAGAAGAACGCATGCACTTTCCTTCGAAGTCTTTCTTTCAAAAGATTTTCTAATTGAAATTTTGGTTTTCCTGGAGCTTTACGTGCTGTTTGAAACTCGCCACAATTCTCTTCTTTAACAACTCTGTAAATCGTAGATTTCTCAACACCAAGCGTACTACTAACTTATTCCACTGTGTCATCAACACTTTTACATAAATGTTTGTATGTAAATGATTTAAAACAATTAAATATTAATGTTTTTTCATTAACTGTTAAAGGACCGATTTTTTGTCGTTTACGCGGCCCTTCCAAATGTTCCATGATCACACTAGAATTCACACTGCACCTTGCAAGTTACAACTAAACGACATTTAGTAAACTGTCAAGAATACACAACTTGGACCTCCTTACTAAATGGAAAACTTATAATCACATTTTCGGTGAAATTTGTTGGGAAGGTATTTATTTACTTGTAATTCTATTGCTGTAAGAAATTCTTGGAATTAAAATAAAACAAAATTGGCAAATAGGTACTTATTGAAAATAATCTTAAGATACGGCTATGTAATCTTTAATACACAGGGCTTTTGGCCTGTCCAAACCTTTTTTTATTGTTCCGTACAGCTTATGTTTATAAAGGACCAATAAAAGACCCAAAACTTGTAATAGCTCAGGTACATTTATTACAATTTTAGGAAATATTTAGATTATTCTGTAAAAATATTTAAAATGACCGTACTAAGTTTTGCGTTATAAATGCTGTTTTATTACTCTCTCATACATAAAAATAGACTATAATGCTAAAGCACTTACTTTCCCTATCAAAAAAGATATAAAACTCAAAAAACGTCCTATAAAAGCTTCAAACAATGTCATTCCTTCTCCTTTAAATTGATTTATCATTCTCGTCCTTACTACTCCAGGATGATAGGAATTTGACATAATATTGTATTCTTTCAGTTTTGCACTGAATATATCAGATGCCGCTATTACGCAGAATTTGGAAGTATGATAGTCCAGTTGCATTGTGCCTAAATTAATATCGTCTGGATTATTTTTGTTTATCGAAATTGTATTGAAGAAAGAAAAAGCAGAACCAGCGAAGATTAGTCTAGCTGCTGGAGATTTTTTCATTATATCTGAAAAACAATTAAATTTTTATGCCTTTATGGATAATGAGTTTTTTCTTTTTAAAAACCGACCTATAAGTAGGTGGGTCATCAAAAAAGCACTATAATAATTGATTTGCATAGGTACGTTCAATCCATCTTCTGATAAAGTCCCAAAACTTTTTCCAATGCCAGCATTGTGTATTAAAATATCCAGTTTTTCTTCTGTTGAATTGATTCTTTCTGCGAATTCTCGGACCGATTTGAATGATGCAAGGTCGACATACTCGTATGTAATTTTCTTGCTGTTAGTTTCTTTGTAAATGGCGTCTTTTACATCATCGGTAATAACTTTGTCAGCTACTATTATTTTACAGCCTCTTGATGCTAGGTTGCAAACAATATGGTAACCAATACCTTGAAACCAAAAAGAGTTATATAATATGTCAGTAAAGTATGAAAGGACCACGCACTTTTCTTATGCAAACGGGAGTACCGTCAAAATGTCTGAATTTTTTATATGTTAAATTACTTGATGTCCCCATCAAAAGTGTTCATGGGTAATTTTTTTTATATATTATTAAATTTTTGAAATTACCATAGTAAGCTAAAATCAAAATTATATCACATATAGGGTTTAGATACAGTGTAGTATAGGCAACTAGTATTACGTCTGTGTGTATATCGTGTTACTTACGAGTAGTTTTGTGCGCGTTTTCCGATTTTGATTTGTCATTATAATAAATAGTGAGTTTGCATTGTAATATTAATTAATAACCATCTTTCCACCCCAAAAACTAGACGATATTTTTTAATAATATCAAAAATATCTAGATTTTTCCTCATCTGGAACTAAATTTAAAAGCAAACCGGATCTCTCGGGAAAAGCAAAAATATTGTGAGGATTTTCCAATATAAAATTGTCTCCAAGGTAGCATCTTATTAAGCTTGATTTTTTCTGAAGACACCCATTTGGATTTTGGTACAAACATTTTTAAATTTGGACCAATATTAACAATTTTGGTTTCTTTCAAGTAAACTATAATACTCTTCACAGACTATTTATATGAAGAGTATAATAATATATTAATTTTATAGACGTTCGAATGTTAAATATCGAATTTTAAATACATCATTTTTTTTTTAATTTCCTCAGTTATTGTGCATACATTTCGTGTAACATTTCCCTAATTTTTGAATTATACTTTCATATTCTTTTTTATTTAGTCTTTCCATAATAATTTTAAATCTATAATATACGAGTATATTATACAACTCATATATATTTTGATTTTTTGATTTTGTAATGGATAAATTGGAATATAATTAGGAGTATCATTAATTACATACACTTAAGTACATATGTAGGAGGTAATCATTAGGGCACTTAAAACAAAACAAAAACATTAAAAAGATATTAACTAGAAAAATAATAATTTTAAAGTAATACCCGTGCAGTACTTATTAATTTAAATAATTAAGGTACAAGTATTACAACTTAAGTTTTTTATGGTAATTTAATATTAATATTAAAATTTATATCTGATAAACTTTAATAGAGCTTAAAAATGTGATCAGTCTGAATAAGATACAATTAAATTTACTCACAATCAAAACATCTTTTATTAAAGTTTTATCGACAGGGGCGGATGTTACCCCGTGCCGGTCGAGAAAAAAATGAAAAAGCATTAATTTTTATTTTTAACCTTCTTCAAAAAAATAATGTATGTTCAGCGATAATTCTTTAACACGGTGTCCGATTTCAATGATTTTTTTTTTGTTAGAAAGAGGGTACTTCAGGGGTGCTCCCATATAAATACCTACAAGTACCTTTAAGTACCTACAATAATTTATAATAATTAATTTTGATCTCTGCTTTCTTTTCATTGGAAATAATTATTAATTAATATAATTATTTTGTGACATATGGCGTTGGGTTTTATTTATTTATTTTACTTTACGTCTTGGTCACACTTTAGTTTTAATTATTTTCCGTTTTTAAAAATTGCCAGCCTGGCTATTTGATTCCACCCTTTGATTTTGTTTACCAGGAACAGGAATTATGGAGTGTAGAGAATCTCATACGGTTGTTTATTTCAAAAAGTGTACCCAAAATTAATAAAATTAAGATGGCACTCGTGTACTACAAGGGACAGATCTAATGATACATAGATGATATTCTAAAAGTGTATATAAAGGTACCACAATTATTGAAAATACTTCAAATACGATTTGTAAATGTGGAAATATTCGATTTCCGTTGTTGTTACCTCTATATAATTTAAATATCCTGATATACTGTATACTTATAACTTTAGTAGTCATTTTATTATAATTACGGTTTCCTGGAGGTACTTATTGTTTATAGTTAAAGTTAATATCTTGTTAATGTTTTGAGAAATTATTACTGAGACTCTATGGGTAGGCTTGCCATAAAATGTGAAAAATTGATTTTTGACACTCCTAATCTAATAAAAAGTGAAAATAATAATTTCAAGATATTTAAATAACATACAAGATGATGAATTAACGAGAATTTTTGCACGACCTGTAACCAGCTCTAAAATAGCACTCGTATCAGAAACAAAATATTAAAAAAAAGAAATTTTTTGAAGAGGAAAGAAATGGCCAAATTTTGTTACTCCTGGATTTTAAATATTATTTCTGTAGTATTAACATTAACAAATTTTGAATTGTTATACAGAGTTTTTGCCAAATAAAAATTTAGTCAAAATCCGTATGTAGATAACTACTACTCTCCGTTTGTCCATTACACTTGGAATCATCTTGTATAAAAAAGATTTTTAATTATAAATATAAAATATTAGGATAGTTATATGTTTGGTTATTTAATTATTTCAAAAATTAAAATTAAAGTAAAATAAAAAAAATAGACTTACCTAAACTTCCACCTGTAACAATAGCAGTTTTACCTTCAAGGCAAATATTGCTCTTGCACCGAAAAAGAATATATCTAGAGTATATTCGTAAAGAAAACCTGTGTGAACTTGGCAGCCAAAAGTTAGCAGCCAATTTCTCGAAGATGCCCGAAAAGTCAGTAGCGTCTTTAAAAAGGTTAAAACTTTACAAATCAATATACAAGTAAATAATAAATATTATTAACAATTTTATAAGAGTCTTATTTCCTTACGAGCAGCCGTTTTTGAAATATTGGAAAAAGCTATTTGGTACAGAAGGGAAAAAGTTAACACTTTAAAAATTGGTAAATAACTAGATAATAATACTAGAAACAATTTGAGACTAGTCTGATTTCCTTACGAGGGGTCTAAGTTAGTTCAATGGGGTAGCAGCCGTTTCTGAAATATTGGAAAAAGCTATTTGGTACAGAAGGGAAAAAGTTAACACTTTAAAAATTGGTAAACAACTAGATAATAATACTAGAAACAATTTGAGACTAGTCTGATTTCCTTACGAGGGGTCTAAGTTAGTTCAATGGGGTAGCAGCCGTTTCTGAAATATTGGAAAAAGCTATTTGGTACAGAAGGGAAAAAGTTAACACTTTAAAAATTGGTAAGCAACTAGATAATAATACTAGAAAAAATTTGAGACTAGTCCGATTTCCTTACGAGGGGTCTAAGTTAGTTCAATGGGGTAGCAGCCGTTTCTGAAATATTGGAAAAAGCTATTTGGTACAGAAGGGAAAAAGTTAACACTTTAAAAATTGGTAAACAACTAGATAATAATACTAGAAAAAATTTGAGACTAGTCTGATTTCCTTACGAGGGGTCTAAGTTAGTTCAATGGGGTAGCAGCCGTTTCTGAAATATTGGAAAAAGCTATTTGGTACAGAAGGGAAAAAGTTAACACTTTAAAAATTGGTAAACAACTAGATAATAATACTAGAAACAATTTGAGACTAGTCTGATTTCCTTACGAAGGGTCTACCTTAGTTCAATGGGGAAGCAGCCGTTTCTGAAATATTGGAAAAAGCTATTTGGTACAGAAGGGAAAAAGTTAACACTTTAAAAATTGGTAAACAACTAGATAATAATACTAGAAACAATTTGAGACTAGTCTGATTTCCTTACGAGGGGTCTAAGTTAGTTCAATGGGGTAGCAGCCGTTTCTGAAATATTGGAAAAAGCTATTTGGTACAGAAGGGAAAAAGTTAACACTTTAAAAATTGGCAAACAACTAGATAGTAATATTAGAAATAATTTGAGACTAGTCTGATTTCCTTACGAGGGGTCTAAGTTAGTTCAATGGGGTAGCAGCCGTTTTTAAAATATTGGAAAAAGCTATTTGGTACAGAAGGGAAAAAGTTAACACTTTAAAAATTGGTAAACAACTAGATAATAATACTAGAAACAATTTGAGACTAGTCTGATTTCCTTACGAGGGGTCTAAGTTAGTTCAATGGGGTAGCAGCCGTTTCTGAAATATTGGAAAAAGCTATTTGGTACAGAAGGGAAAAAGTTAACACTTTAAAAATTGGTAAACAACTAGATAATAATACTAGAAACAATTTGAGACTAGTCTGATTTCCTTACGAGGGGTCTAAGTTAGTTCAATGGGGTAGCAGCCGTTTCTGAAATATTGGAAAAAGCTATTTGGTACAGAAGGGAAAAAGTTAACACTTTAAAAATTGGTAAACAACTAGATAATAATACTAGAAACAATTTGAGACTAGTCTGATTTCCTTACGAGGGGTCTAAGTTAGTTCAATGGGGTAGCAGCCGTTTTTAAAATATTGCAAAAGGCTATTTGGTACAGAAGGGAAAAAGTTAACACTTTAAAAATTGGTAAATAACTAGATAATAATACTAGAAACAATTTGAGACTAGTCTGATTTCCTTACGAGGAGTCTAAGTTAGTTCAATGGGGTAGCAGCCGTTTTTAAAATATTGCAAAAGGCTATTTGGTACAGAAGGGAAAAAGTTAACACTTTAAAAATTGGTAAACAACTAGATAATAATACTAGAAACAATTTGAGACTAGTCTGATTTCCTTACGAGGGGTCTAAGTTAGTTCAATGGGGTAGCAGCCGTTTCTGAAATATTGGAAAAAGCTATTTGGTACAGAAGGGAAAAAGTTAACACTTTAAAAATTGGCAAACAACTAGATAGTAATATTAGAAATAATTTGAGACTAGTCTGATTTCCTTACGAGGGGTCTAAGTTAGTTCAATGGGGTAGCAGCCGTTTTTAAAATATTGGAAAAAGCTATTTGGTACAGAAGGGAAAAAGTTAACACTTTAAAAATTGGTAAACAACTAGATAATAATACTAGAAACAATTTGAGACTAGTCTGATTTCCTTACGAGGGGTCTAAGTTAGTTCAATGGGGTAGCAGCCGTTTCTGAAATATTGGAAAAAGCTATTTGGTACAGAAGGGAAAAAGTTAACACTTTAAAAATTGGTAAACAACTAGATAATAATACTAGAAACAATTAGAGACTAGTCTGATTTCCTTACGAGGGGTCTAAGTTAGTTCAATGGGGTAGCAGCCGTTTCTGAAATATTGGAAAAAGCAAAAAGCTATTTGGTACAGAAGGGAAAAAGTTAACACTTTAAAAATTGGTAAACAACTAGATAATAATACTAGAAACAATTTGAGACTAGTCTGATTTCCTTACGAGAGGTCTAAGTTAGTTCAATGGGGTAGCAGCCGTTTCTGAAATATTGGAAAAAGCTATTTGGTACAGAAGGGAAAAAGTTAACACTTTAAAAATTGGTAAACAACTAGATAACAATATTAGAAACAATTTAAGACTAGTCTGATTTCCTTACGAGGGGTCTAAGTTAGTTCAATGGGGTAGCAGCCGTTTTTAAAATATTGGAAAAAGCAAAAAGCTATTTGGTACAGAAGGGAAAAAGTTAACACTTTAAAAATTGGTAAACAACTAGATAATAATACTAGAAACAATTTGAGACTAGTCTGATTTCCTTACGAGAGGTCTAAGTTAGTTCAATGGGGTAGCAGCCGTTTCTGAAATATTGGAAAAAGCTATTTGGTACAGAAGGGAAAAAGTTAACACTTTAAAAATTGGTAAACAACTAGATAACAATATTAGAAACAATTTAAGACTAGGCTGATTTCCTTACGAGGGGTCTAAGTTAGTTCAATGGGGTAGCAGCCGTTTTTAAAATATTGCAAAAGGCTATTTGGTACAGAAGGGAAAAAGTTAACACTTTAAAAATTGGTAAACAACTAGATAGTAATATTAGAAATAATTTAAGATTAGTCTGATTTTCTTACGAGGGGTCTAAGTTAGTTTAATGGGGTAGCAGCCGTTTTTGAAATTTTGGAAAAAGCTATTTGGTACAGAAGGGAAAAAGTTAACACTTTAAAAATTGGTAAACAACTAGATAATAATATTAGAAACAATTTAAGACTAGTCTGATTTCCTTACGAGGGGTCTAAGTTAGTTCAATGGGGTAGCAGCCGTTTTTGAAATATTGGAAAAAGCTATTTGGTACAGAAGGGAAAAAGTTAACACTTTAAAAATTGGTAAACAACTAGATAATAATACTAGAAACAATTTGAGACTAGTCTGATTTCCTTACGAGAGGTCTAAGTTAGTTCAATGGGGTAGCAGCCGTTTCTGAAATATTGGAAAAAGCTATTTGGTACAGAAGGGAAAAAGTTAACACTTTAAAAATTGGTAAACAACTAGATAACAATATTAGAAACAATTTAAGACTAGGCTGATTTCCTTACGAGGGGTCTAAGTTAGTTCAATGGGGTAGCAGCCGTTTTTAAAATATTGCAAAAGGCTATTTGGTACAGAAGGGAAAAAGTTAACACTTTAAAAATTGGTAAACAACTAGATAGTAATATTAGAAATAATTTAAGATTAGTCTGATTTCCTTACGAGGGGTCTAAGTTAGTTTAATGGGGTAGCAGCCGTTTTTGAAATATTGGAAAAAGCTATTTGGTACAGAAGGGAAAAAGTTAACACTTTAAAAATTGGTAAACAACTAGATAATAATATTAGAAACAATTTAAGACTAGTCTGATTTCCTTACGAGGGGTCTAAGTTAGTTCAATGGGGTAGCAGCCGTTTTTGAAATATTGGAAAAAGCTATTTGGTACAGAAGGGAAAAAGTTAACACTTTAAAAATTGGTAAACAACTAGATAGTAATATTAGAAATAATTTGAGATTAGTCTGATTTCCTTACGAGGAGTCTAAGTTAGTTCAATGGGGTAGCAGCCGTTTTTGAAATATTGGAAAAAGCTATTTGGCAGAAGGAAAAAAGATAAAGCGCACTAATTTTTACAAACTAAACTTAAATCTTACTTTGTAAATTTTTTATATCTATTTGTAATTACCTAATAAACATTATCTTTTTATAAAGTTGTAAGTTAGTTATAATTACCATACAACGTATACTATTAGGTTGTATATGTCCACCAAAAAACGTATAATCATATATAATAACGGTATAGTGTATTAGAATATGTTTTTGAGTTTTAAGAAAAGTTGTTGCAACGGTCGGTATAATCCTTATATAACTTTCTGTGTTACTTGGGAAGCTTATTAATGTGATAAATATTTATTTAATTATAAGAAATTAAATATAAATGTACGTGGATATCGGAAATATTTATATTATCGATAGCATGATGTTTTTAGGCTATTATATAACTTTTAGCATATAGTTTTTTAGCAATTTTACACTTCCTTTTATTACTGTTATTTCGTTATAATATTTAGTATACCCTGCACAATTCGCACATGTCGTTAGTTGTTTTTTCGCCTCTAACCAAGCCTTCTTTTAATTCACCTGCTGTTAAGAGGCATCTATGATGAATTCTTCTTCTGCAGAGTCGACAGGTGAATATGGATTTTTCGTTTGATTTTATTACCAAGGAGCAAAATAAACATCGTTCTTTCATATCCGAACTATGATGAAGCAAGAGCCATTTAAGGTCTATTCGGTACTGGTTGATATCTATGGCGATGTTTAAATTTTGAGACTTTGTAAGTCTTTGAAAAAAGTAAATTATATAAGTACCGCAATT